AGCTGTCCATTCTGGTATTCACTTTTTTTTTTTTTTTTAACCTTCTGGGTTTGCTTCCTTGTTTTGGTGGAGCACATCATTTGAAAGCTTCTTAAGAAACGGTACAGAGAGATAAGTTGTTTGAAATCTTGCATGTCAGAAGATAACTTTATTTTACTCCCACACTTGACTGATGGTTTGGATGAGTGTGGGAATCTATGTTGGAAATAATTTCCCTTCAGAACCGTAAAGGCGCTATTTTCAATTGTTGCTGTTAAGAAATCTGATGTCATTCTTTTTTTTTTTAATTGTGGCAAATATATATGTAACAAATCACTTAACCTTTTAAACATTTTTCACATGTACAATTCAGTGACATTAGTTATGTTTATCATGTTGTTCAACCATTAGCATTATCCATTTCCAAATTTTCTATCACCCTTAGCAAAAGCTCAAGGTACCGTAAGCAGTGAGTCCCCCCCTTTTCCCCTCTCTCCTATCTGCCCCTGGTAACCACTAATAAACTTTGGTCTCTATATGCTTACCTAGCCTAGATATTTCATATAAGTGAAATTATACAATATTTGTCCCTTTGTAACTGACTTATTTCACTCAGCATAATATTTTCAAGTTTTATCCATGTTGTAGCATGTAACAGGACTTCATTTCTGATGCCATTTTAATTCTTGATCCTTTGTATGAAACCTCGTTTTTCTCTCTGGATGTATGTGGGATCTTCTCTTTGTCCTCAGTCTTCTGAAATTTTACCATGATGTGCCCTGGCGTGGTTCTGTTTTTGTCCATTGTGCTGGGCTCAGCGAGCACTTTCAGTCTGGAAATGCATGTCCTTTAGTTCTAAACGAATATAATTGAATTATTTAATGGATTTTTTCCCCTGTGTTTCCCAGACCTCCTGAGTTAGCTTGGTAATTGTCTCATCCTTTCTTACCTCTTTCCCTTTTTGTTATACTTCCTGGGATAGTTCCTCAATTTTATCTTCCTACCGCTTTACTGAGTTTTTTGTTTTTGCTATCGTATTTTTAACTTAAAAGAGCTCTTTTTTTTAATAGTATCTTATTCTATTTTTAGGGGCCCTGGTGGCACAGCGGTTAAGAGCTCTGCTGCTAACCAAAAGGTCAGCAGTTTGAATCCACCAGCTGCTCCTTGGAAACCCTTTGGGACAGTTCTGCTCTGTCCTATAGGGGCGCTACGAGTCAGAATTACTCAACAGCAATGGTTTTTTATTCTCTTTTTATGGCCATAACACCTCATTTCTCAGAAGAGAGCAATAACAGATCTTGCGGTGTTTTCTTCTTTCCGTATAGATTGTTTCTTCCCAAGTTTCCTTTTTCCTGGTTGTATGTTTTGGGCTCTATTTTTCATGTCAGACCCTCCCCCTAAAATGCAATGACCTTTGGCTGTTTTGCTCTTATTTAAGAATGAGTACAGTTGCCAGATTTAGCAAAACAAAACAAAGAAAAACGGGATATCCACTTAAATTTGAATTTCAATAAATGATAAATAATGTTTTTAGTATAGGTATGTCCCATGCAATATTTTGGACATACTTCTAGTACGTAAGCATGTCATACTTTAGTAAAAAAAATAATTCGCTGTTTATCCGAAATTCAAATTTAACTGAGCATCCTGTATTTTGTCTGGCAATTCTAAGAATGAAATCTAAAATTCTGGCTGGAAGCTCTGTGTGGGTTTGCAAGTGGGTAGGGCTTGACAACTGTGAATTCACTAAAGAGGTGTTCTGGCTGGGCTCTTTTGGTGAGTAACTGATGGCAACATCTTTAGATCTTTCCTATTAGATTCCCCGGAAAAGAGTATTCCAAACTCGCCATCCGAGCAAGTGTAATCCTGGCTACCAGTGTTCTGGGAGCCAAGCAGAGGAAGAATACTGAACAGTTCAAAATTCATATTGAGTTTCCTATAGCTCTTCAGCTCCAGGACAGTTCCCCCAGCCTTGTGTGGTAGATTGTAGACAAATTATTTGCTACACCTCCCATGCAGGGATGGCACCTAATTCCCCTTCCCTAGACTCTAGGCCGGTCTTAGTAACTTGCATGACTTATAGAATGTGGCAGAAGTAATGTTCAGGGCCTTCTAGACCTAGATCATAAGAAGCCTGGTAGCTTCTGCCCGGGCCTCTTGGAATCTTCTTTCTGGGAGTTTGAGCCTCCCTGTAGGAAGTTTGACTACCTACTCCAAGACTGCCGTGACAGAAAGGGCGCATACAGGCGCTCTGGTTGACAGTACTGTGCCAGCTGAAACCAGCCTCCCAGCCATCCCTGCCATGGTCCCAGAGGGAAACCTCTAGATTAGCCCATGTGCCAGCCGAATACCACACGAGAGAGAAGAATTGCCTAGCTGAGCCCTGCCCCAAAATAGTGAGATATAATACAATGGGTGCTGTTTTAAGTCATTGAGTTTTGGGGTAATTTGCTAGGCAGTCTTAGAAAGCCAGACTGCCTTGACTACACCTGGTGACCCCCATTCCAGAGATCTCTGTATCCTGTCCAGAGAATACACCTCCATCTTCTGCTGGAGTGGGAGGGGGCAGTGGCAGCTATGCAGTATTGGGGAGCGGATCTAGGGACCTGATTGTTTCTTTTACAGACTTACAACAAATTCTCCTGTTCTTAATCTTACCTGTAAACCCATTTTCAGAAGCCCTGGTACAGCCAATTCCTGTGTGTCTTGGGGAGTTCTACAGCACGAATTATGCTGCTTCTCTGCTTTCGCTACTCTTGGCTTAGGAGTCAGCTAGCTTTCTCAGGTCTTCTAGTCGGTTATCACCTGTCCATCTGCTTTCCAGTTTCCAACATTCTGTTATTTTCTCCTCTCTTTTTCCCTTGTCCTTGCAAGATTTTTAAAAAATCTACGATTAATTTAATGGGATTTCTAGAGGGAACTGAGGCGAATTCATAGGTTCATTCTGCTATCTTTAATTTAAAGGCTCCTTTGAGTCTTTAATTTCAACAGTTATATTAATTTTTAAAATCTTTAGATCATGTTCCCTAGAAGCAGGAGCCTGAGCAAGTGCCTCAGTGAGGGAGTTTTCTCAGGAGAAACCTGTGAAGTAAATGAAGGAAGTAAGAGTGGGCAGAGGAAGAAGCTGAGCAAAGATGTGGTTTCTGCTGAACTTTAGCCTCAGCCAGATCCCCTGGGAGCTCTGAAGTATGAAGGACCTACAAACTTATTCCTGGTTATTTTTAAGTGCTCAGCGACTAACCAAAAGGTTGATGGTGTGAATCCTCCCAAAGGTGTAAGAGGTGCCTCAGAAGAAAGGCCGGGTAATCTACCTCTGAAAAATCAGCTACTGAAAACCCTATGGAGCACAGTTCTACTCAGACATACATGGGGTCATCATGAATTGGAATTGACTCAATGGCAACTAGTATTTTTGTTTGTTTGTTTGTACTCTGTAAACGTTAACCTCTGGCTATGGTCTCCCCAACCTCATCTGAGGGCCTTTCTCAGGAGAAGGGACTAAGCTGGGGAGACGGGGTGCACCTGCCTAGTAAAGGCACTCTCAGCCGGGTGCCAACAGCCTCTGCTGTGTTCCCTAACTTTTTTTTTTTTTTTAGCATATTTGTTACTTTTAAGGGATGCAAGTTTCCCATCTCTCTGAGGAAATGAATTATCCTTATTTCATTTTATTCTATGGCTTACCCTTTTAATTTTGTTTCTTCAAAGTTAGTTCATAAACTGAAGCTCAGAAATTTTTAAATTATTTGCCCAGGTTGAAACATTTAAAAGGTCTTGACTGCAAATCGGTCTGATGCTAAAACCCATGTTTCTAACCATGCTAAACCACTTACTCTGGCCACATCTTAACGAAATAATTTAATTTATTGCTCAGGTTTTAAGGGTGCCAAATAGCCACTTCGAATTTGGTCTGTTGGATAGCAAACACACTCTCAAAAGCTACCTACCCTTTGTTAAATAAAATTTGAATTTGCCTGTAGACGCAATGGATTCCTTTTGCAAGCTTTCGCCGAGCACCTACTATGCGCTGGCAACTGTACTGGGCGCAGGTGCAAAAGTGACCCAGACCCAGTCCATACCCCCAAGGAGCTTGTGTCCGGTAAAGGAAGCAGATACTAACACACAAACTGTATTGCATATTACAAGGGGCGAGTGCCGCACCAACGGAGAAAGTGGGAACTACCCACCAGTGTTGTTAGTCGCTGAGTCATCGGGCCTCATGACCATGTGTGCAGAGGAGAACTGCTCCATAGCGTTTTCAAGACTGTGACCTTTCAGAAGCAGAACACTTTCAGAAGCCTGTCCTTCCTAGGCGCCTCTGGGTGGGTTCTAACCGCCAACCTTTCGACTAGGCTAGTAGTCCGGTGCTTAACCGTTTGCGCCGCCAGGGACTCCCGACAATTGCTATATAGTAACAGTTGATAGGTGAAGAGAAAAAGAAGATCTGGGTTTGCTCCTCTTATTCCCAAAGATTTCCTCCGCCTGCTGGGCACATAAGGAAAGGAAACTGTTTTCCTCCAGGGAGATGTGAAACTGCTGGCAACTTTTTGGAATCTATGTTTTAATGTGAAAGAGGAAAATGAAATGTGCTATTGTGATTTCACTTTCTCCTTCTCCGGCCAACAGCTCGACCTGAGCTGGCCAGTGAGAGAGACACCGCCGTTTCCCAAGAAGGAAGCTTTGATTCGCCGCGAGACGCCGGCCCCCGGCGCTGAGCTGGGCGCGGCCGATCGCGAAGGGTAGGGGAGGCCGCGCGTGGGCGTACCGTGGAGGGTGTGGGGTGCCCAGGCACCGGACACCCTAAAGTCAAACTTCCTCGACTCTGCGTAGGGAAGAGGGCTGAGCAGCCCGGCAAGGGGTGCGAGGCGAGGAGCCCGCACAGCGGGAGTGGCCGCCGTCGGGGCGGGGACACCCGCGGGTCCAGCCAGGCCGCGCTCCCCCCGCGCCGGGAGCGCATTGCCCCAGGGGCGATTTTCCGGTCCCGTGGGCAGAGCGACAACCAGGAATTCGGGCTCAGTCTCCACCCCGTAGTGGGGCGGGTCCTGCTGGGATAAGACCCACTGCCCCGCCCCGACGAGGGTGTGATCTCCGCGGCCTCCGAGGACGAGCGCAACCCGGTTCGGCACCGAGCGGTAAGGGGCAGCCGGCCGGGGGTGGGGGTATCCTCGGCTGGGAGAGAGGGTGCTGCGGCCCGGGAGCGCCTCGCGGACATGCCCAGCCCCGCGCCGCGCCCAGGAGGGGGTGCCCCACGCGGCCCGATCGCCCCGTGGACTTGCGGGCCGGGTCGGGGTGCCCACAGCGGGCCTGCAACTCGCTCCTAGTGAGCAAGAGGGGGACAAACACGGCCCTTACCCTACAGGTACTATCTAAAAAGATGTCGAGAGCACTTTATATGCCCAGTCGGGGACCACAGCAGTTATTTATGCACGTGTACCACACTCTGCTGGACTTGGACATTAAAAAGAAAGGATTGCATTAGTATTCTCTTTATCTGCTGCAGGCTAACATCTGAGTTTTACTTTTGGATTCTTTCTTTCCTCCTTTTAAAAAAACTCTACCCCTTTCTCCTCGTTTCTTTCCCCTGTCTCTTCTCGTATATCTGATGCCTCTAACACAGTGCCTGGCACGTGAGAATCTCTTATTGTTGTGAGGCCCTTGACCCTAGCTCTTTCGTCATGGCTCTGACCAGCTAGAGACTTTGGAGCCAAAGAGGCTGTTGCTTTTCAACAGTCTGTCTGGCTTTAAGTGTCGCCCAAGTTGATGCAAGTCTCCTGTGAGTTGTTTTGAACATTGTGAGTTCTGAGTAACCTACACCTTTTATGAAAAGTGGAGAACTGAAAGGACATTTGCCCCCTGGAGCTGACAGTGGGAAGGATGGATAGGGTCTCCTCCTCCAAATTATCCATTCCAGCGGCCATCAATTCCAGGACCCCCACTTGCCCTTACATGGCAAGTTACTCTATTGACAGCCAAGCCCTAGCTCTTAATCGTTGCCAGGGAGTCCTCCGACAACAGAGAGGTGAAAAACAGGAGAGGAAGGGGACAGGAAGGAAGAGCCCACCCAAGACCTGCTTACTTTCCAGAGCCCTGTCTGGCCAAGGCCAGATCCCCTGCATCCAGCTCAGGTCAGATTTGTATTGATTTGGGGATACACACACCCTTACTGGATCACGGGCATCTATGATTTTTCCCTCCTAAACATTGTTGCATTTGGTTAGGGATAATTTTTCTCTGAAAGCAATTTACAGAGTAACATGCGCAGACACAGTGGGCCACACCGGCCTCAGCGTTTAAAGGGGGAGCCGCCTGGTCATCCCCAGACTCAGGTTGTGTAGCTAGTTCCCTTACTTACGTCCAGCCACTCATTCGTTTTCCCGATCTTGCTCATCTAATGAGCTTGTAGACTAAGCCTGTTCTCCAACAGAGATCGAAGTGAGTGGCAGGCCCTGGGGATGGTAGGCAGTGTACCAGGGAGTACCTGAAACAAGGGGGCATTTTCCTTGGGTGTCAGTTTTACCCAAATAGTTGAGGATAACAGTGTTTTTGTATTAAAACAATCAGATATGTTTTGGAGCAGAATCCAAACTTTGTGTACATTTTTAATATGAAACACACTGCAAAGAATTTTTGCTCAGTCTTTTGGCAGCAATTTGGCTCACACCTAGCCCTCGAGGGTCTGTCTTCACTGCAGTTAGGGCTACTTGTGTACATCAGTTTGATAAGCACTGCAATGTCCTCCCTGAAGCAACTTCTAATAACAGCCGTCCTCATATAGTCTTCACTTCGACCTGAGGCAGCATCATGACCCTAGTTTTGCAGATGAGAAACGCAAGGCCCCAAGTTGTGGTCCTTTGTCAAGGTCAGACCATGTATAAACTGAGGCTCAAATCCAAATGCTTGATGCTAAAGCCTGTTCTTTTATCCTCTCTGCTCTGTTTGACCTTCATCAGTGCTTGGACCTTGGAATTTAGATTTGTGCTTACCAGCTTATTAACTAAATCTTGATCAAATGTTTTTCTTTTCCCCTCCAACTTTCTTCTTATCAAGCCTCAGCCTAAGCAGGTAGATAAAACAGTGACATGTGAGATATGGTTGAAAGAACTGGAGCTATTTAGATGGGAAAGAGAATACTGCAGTGGGTGTGGTGACACATGGTACCCATTGCCATCAAGTTGATTCCGACTCACAGCGACCCTGGATTCTGGAGGAGCTTGTCATGTGGACAAAGGAATAAATTCTCTCTGTGTGGCTTCTGTGGGCAGAGCTAGACACATCGGGTAGGAGTTTTTTGGACTGTGAGTTCTGGTTGAATTTAAGGAAGTGGCTTTTGAAACCCATAGATTGGGTGGCTTTGGAGTCTTCAAGAAGCTCTCTCACCAGAGGTGTCTAGACAGAGGCCAGCTGTGACAGGTGGAAGGTTATACTGAGATAACTTCTATCTAAGGCCATAGCTCCAAACTTCAGGGTGCATCAGAATCTCCCCTGCATGTCCAACATGCACATTTTTGCCTCACCCCCCACCCTCAAATTCTGATATTGTATGACCGGGGTGGGGCCCAGGAACATGCATATTTAGCTGGCTCCCTGATGGTTGTAATTCAGGTGCTTCTAGGACCTCACTTTGAGAAACTGCTTTAGAAATACTTACATGAATATGTGCATGCTTGATAAATTGAATAAAGTACAGTATTAACAAAAATATACAGACCTTCCTAAGAGAACGTAGGCCTGACATATGCTACAAACTCTAGGTAATGTAGTAAATGCTAAAACCTTCTCCATTCTCAGAGATACCTTCTTACTATACTTGTCACATCTCCTTTGTGCTATGATTAACAACAGGGTTTTTTTTTTTTGCCTCCCAACTCGCCTCATAATCTTACAGTGCTTAACATCTGTAGACCAATATGGAGCCCTGCTAAAGGTTTTTTTTTTTTTTTTTTTTTAACTTCGTTGAAACAAATGGATTACTACATTAAGATTAATTTCCTTAGGGATTTAGGATTTCTATCTAAGGCCTGCTGTTGGTTTTATTGGGAGTCACTTGTTAGTGTTTGTTTGAACTGGACTGAGAGCTTTTGCTATGGGAACCTGAAACACCACGTCTGAAGAATTCTTTTTAATGTTTCAAGTTGTTTGAGAGCAGTGAATTACCACACTGCTTCTTGGTCCAGAGGGCTTGACACAAAAACCATAGTGAATGTTATATCAACAGTCAGCAGCAGGGATAAATTACAGCAACGACTTCCATTTCCCCCCAGAATCGTTAAGGCCTAGAGACAACACAGAGCATGAGCGGCCTGACGTGGAACCGAGCGGGAGGCGCCCTGAGTGGGCCTTTGTCAAGTCATCAGATAGGCCTCTTGCCCAGTCGCTGTGTCTTCATTCCTCTGAGTGAGGTCACTCACCTCGCTGGAAAGGTAATAAATTATTACCAGAAGCTAACTTAGAAGGACCCTGTGTTTACTTGGGAATGAATTCTCCTGAATTTTTTGTAATTGAACCATCTCCCCTGAAGGAGGTCCTTTATAGATACACGCCTTGTGGTATATTCAGCCCTCAGCATATTTCCTCTTCCTCATCTCCAGGGAGGTGTTTTCTGGGACCTGCTTAGCTTCAACTTCTGTTATTGCTGCTTTTTGATACTGTTGACTCAGTGATCCTCACCCTTGTTACAATTGCAGACCCTTTTTTTTTTTTTTAATTGTGCTTTAGGTGAAAATTTACAGCTCAAGTTAGTTTCTCGTACAAAAATTTATATACACATTGTTATGTGACCCTAGTTGCTATCCCTGTAATGTGACAGCACACTCCTCCTTTCTACTCCGGATTTCCCATGTCCATTCATCCAGCTTCTATCCCTTTCTGCCTTCTCGTCTCACCTCCAGATGGGAGCTGCCCATTTAGTCCCGTGTATCTGCTTGAACTAAGAAGCACACTCTTCACGAGTATCATTTTATGTCTTATAGTCCAGTCTAATTTTTGTCAGAAGAGTTGGCTTCAGGAATGGTTTTAGTTCTAGGTTAACAGAGAGTCTGGGGGCCATGTCTTCTGGGGTTCCTCCAGTCTCAGTCAGACCATTAAGTTTGGTCTTTTTACTAGAATTTGAGTTCTGCTCCCCACTTTTCTCCTGCTCCGTCAGGGACTCTCTGTTGTGTTCCCTGTCAGGATGTCACAGACCCTTTTGAGAATTTGATTAAAGCTATGGATCTTCTCTCAAAAATAAATAAATAAACAACACACATGTAATGTTTTCATATAGTTTCAAGGGGTTCACAGATACCCCCAAAACTCAGTTATAGATACCTAGAAGGCACATAGACATCATGTTAAGAATTACCCTGAAATTTGGCAGTGCTGATCAACTGTTTTAGAAAATGCATTTACCTTTACTTCAGCAATTTCAGTTCTAGGCATTTATCCTATAGATATACTTAGACATGGATGTAGATGTTTACAAGGATATATACATTACAGCCTTGTTTATAGTAGCAAAAGATTGGAAACAACCTAAATATGTATCAGTAACCCATTGCTGTCCAGTTGATTCATCCATGAAATGCAGTATTATGCAGCTGTTAAAAAGTGATGTAAATACATAGGAACTGATATTGGATCATATCTAAGGTAAATTATTTTCTAAAAAAAGCAAAGTGCAGCTTTTCATGGTATGCTACCATTTATGTATATAAAAATGATGGGGACTATGTATACCTCATATGCTTATTTATACATGAAATACTTCTGGAAGGATACACAGGAAAATTATAGCAGTGGTTGCCTTTGGGGGTGTGGGGTGAAGGTCTTACAGTTATCACTATATATGTTTTTGTACTATTTGAATTTTTTTATCATGTTTGTGTATTATCTATTAATTTTTTAAAATAGAAAGTTTACATTGTTTGTGAAGAGAGAAAATAAGACAGAAATGAGGAATGTATAATTATCAAAGATTCCAACCTTAAAATTAGCATAGAATCGTATACTTTCTTATTTACATACAAAGAGGTAACAGGTGTAGTTTTGCTTCCGTTTCCAATGAGATGAAATAGCAACTGCCCATTGGTGCCACCCATTTCAGTTGGGTGATGTGCTCGTGTAGGATACCTCAGCCTGCTTCAGAAAGAAAGTA